AATGGCTGTTCATCAAATGAAACATATACATGGACCAAAAATAACTACAATTAATTGACATCCTTAAAAATCCAAGCTGATTTATTAACAAATACTCACTTGTAAATTTTAGTAATAAATGGCACGTAGGTGAAAATTTATGTCAGCTTTCTTAGTGAACCTAGGTGTTAACAACATCCTGACATTACATTATTTTACAGAGTAAAGGTTTGTGGAGCATCATCATAAAGGATCTCTGGAGGATTGCAGGGCACACTCTTCATCCCATGGGACCTACCGTATGTAGAACTCAGTGTGTAAAAACACCAGGACCTAACTGCCCCATGAGAGTGCCAGATGGTAGGTAGATAGAGAAGAAGGGTTCAGTTATAGGAACATGGTTATGAGAAGCTTAAAATATTTGCTCAATGAAACTATCTTGCATTATTCAGAGTCAGGTCAGTCTCCCAGGGACTATCATGTTCCCTCGCACGTCAAGGTGATCCCAATTAGAGGGCTCCTTTGCAAGTTTCTAGATATAAATCTATGGTAGTCAGTGGCATCTGTCTTTGTGGACTTTTTCCATCCATGATCAATTCAATACAGCATGTTGAGATCCAGCTGGCTGTTGCTCTGGGTTTAGGGAGTTTGAAGGACATATTCTTTGGCTGTAATCTATTGACCCAAAGACTACGCCCTGCTATGTTGTGTATATGTAGTGTTTTCCTGATGAAAACTGGATTTTACTGTTATCTGCCTTGCTTTTCGCTCAGGGAAACACCCAGTTTCAGAATTCATTGTGGGTTCTGGTGTAAACAGGATTTGACCTGGCTGCATGAATCAGAGTGGAAGGAAAGAATAAAAGTCAACCTTTTTGCAGGACCAGAAGTTAAGATAAAATAGGCAAGTTGATAAAAGAAGAGGGTAAAAAGTGTGAACTCATTCTAGGGTTATTTATACTCTACTCGTAAAAACATCACCATCAAAACATTCTGATCATTCACTTATTCCATCAGTTTTGAGCATACTCTGCAGTTCTACCAAAATACTCATGACAGTTTAAAAGATTAATAATAATAATAATTAATAACTGAAAAACAAAACAAGTCACATAACTAACAAATCACACCGCCACTCAAATAAAAAACTGTCTACAAATGTTTTGAGAAGTAAGGCATTCTAGTTTATTCACCAATAAAACAAGAAAGAACAATGGATTGGATCCATGACTATATGAAGTTCCATTGTTTTCCATTGATAATTGAATCAACATAGATTATTTATTTCAGTGGTTCGCAAATGATAGAGTGGAAGTCCCCAGGGCAACAAGAGTTGCTTAAGGGGGGCACAAGACTTGGAAGCCCTGATCCCTCCTCCCAAACATTTTTATGTTGAGTTGAGTTAAATATTGAATTTACTTAAATAAAATTATTCGAATTTGAAGGATGTTATTTCCTTATAAAATCTTAAAATATGAATATACAGTTGTCCCTCCCCGTTCATGGACTTCAAGTATGTGGTCTCACTCTTTGCGGGAGGGACAATTGAGGAGGGATATAATGATGGCACACACCTGCTTGTGTCCCCCATGGGCGCGCATGCCATTATTTTTGATGGGGCTCGAATATTTGCGAGCCACCATTTTCGTGGGGTGTGTGTCTGGAACAGATCCTCCACAAATTGGGAGGGGCTACTGTACATGAATGTACAAATGAAAATACGCAGACTAAATAAACAAAATATTTTTATTAATATATTATGTCGAGTGGGGGCAGGGCGTGATGTCCACATGTGGATGTAAAGGGGGATCCCAAGGGTAAAAAGTCTGAGTACTAATGCATTTCATTCTTGGACAAGGTGATGGAGCATGTGATGGCCGCTCAGCCACAAGAATTCCTGGATGAGAAGCACTCTATGGGTCCATTTCATTCTGGCTTCAGGACTGGTTTTGGGATGGGGATAATTTTGGTCTCTTTAGGGAACTGGACAGGAGGTTTGGCTGGATCTCTCAGCAGCTTTCACTTCATCAACCATGTTATCTTTCTCTGGGATAAGTCTTGGAGGTACTGTTTTTACAGTGGCTCCAATCATTCCTGGTGAGATGAGCCCAGAAGATGGTACTGGATGATTCCTGTTTGATACCATGGCCATTACCCTTCAAGCTTCTCCCCATCCTCCATGTTTCTGAAAAGTTTTGTCTCATCCTTTGGAGCAGGGTTGGGCAAGTGTGGCCTTCCAGATGTTGTCAATTACAGTTGCCATGATTCCCTACCACTGGCTAAGGCTCAAGAAAGTACAACAATTGGAGAGCCAATATTCTTGTGGGAACCACACATTACCTACCTCTGGTTAAGAGTTCTTTGAAAATGTCAGTAAACATATAGAGAAGAGTCATCAGCAGACTTTGTTTACTTGATCTCCCAAAAGTCTCTTACCATAGACTTCTCCTGAGCACACTTGCGGATTAAGTTCCAAGCTGTTTATAGATCAGAGAAGGTTGGCTCCTGTCTAGATGGAAAAGAAAAGAGTAGGCTTGGGGGTGCTCCTTGACTCGTCGCTCCTGATGACAAATCAGGTT